ACAGACAGATGGAATGACAGACACACAGACCACTTCCTAACATTCTAACTGGAGCGATAAAAATTAAAGCAATACTTCCATAATTTGTAAAAAATTAGAGTAATTACCCGTTATTTAGTTCAGATATTTCTGTGATGTAGGGTTAGCTAATTTCCTAAAGAGCTTGACACTGAAACAAGCCAGCTGAAAAAGACAGCTATAGTGAGTGGACAACCAGTAATTAACTTCCATTTTGATCTGCAATCACACGCCCTCTGTACTCGGAATGAATGCTAAGTATGGGAATATATATGTGGAATGTCCCATATTGGGAAAACCAACACCACTAATAGCCACATGTGATGACATAATCACAAGTGTCATTACAAAGAGGAGATGGCGTTCGCTTGAAATTAACACTTTGTCTCTAACCCACATATTAATGTCTGGTTCTCTGTCTGTCCGAGCAGCCATTTTGATGAAGTGACTATGTCAAGGAAACTGATTCCCATCTCAGTCAGCCTTACAGTCCAACAAATTTTGAAATGCACGTCGACATCTAGTTGTTGTGGATTTAATTACATGCAAACACTGTCTCATTTCCGCTATGTCCCAAAGTCAAAACATCTAGGCAGACTTAAAATTGGACCACTTGTTGAGAATAATTCCCCCACGGCACTGACAGAAATAAGTTAAGACTCGCAGTCTCCAGCTTGTTTGAGGACACCTATAATTAACACGGAGAATTGCAATTGGAAAATCATGTGTGTTTAAACATGTGCATCATGAGTTGTTATTATTATTATTATTATTAATAACCCATTTTGAATCAAATTCAGTCACTGAAGACTTCTGATTCCTGAGTCCATTTTACATGTCCTTTCTGAAAATATCCCATCGTGTTCACAGTACATGGAGTGTGTTTCTTGTCTTGCTGTAATTTCCTTGTTTGAGTTCGAAATGTCATCCAGCTGGATATCAATCAATATTTGTAATTCTGAATAATGTGTTTTAGTTATAAACAAAAAATACCTTCCCAAGATACTGTTTAACCAATCTAAAACTGCCTTAATAATGAATGGTTCAATTTTCATTAAAATTTATCAAAATAATTATTCAAAAGTTTTATCAATTTTATTTTGAAGATAAACTTTAATCGTCTTTGTAGGAGATATTAGAAATGATACAGAACTGAGCAGATAACGCTTGATGTTCTCCTGGCTAAAGGACTCGTACAATATCAGTTTCGCTCCTCACAGAGTCTCATCTATCATTTAGCAGGTCTTTTCAAAATGAACATATTTATCTGAAAACAAAATGTCACAGCACAAAGAGATGGGTACTTTAAAATGGCCAAACAGAAATGCTGAAATCCGACCTCATGTGCTTCCTCACCGCCTCAGTGAACAGAGAATTATGAAAAACTTATCATAAACAAGGGTTGTTAGAATGAATAATGGATGGGACTATACAGGAGCAATGGTGGCCTGAAAACTGCTGGTTACTGGCCAGGACTGACTTACACAGTGAGTGAGTGAGTGTGTGAGGTGAAATTGGGTTTAATGTCGTGCATGCATGTGTATGTGTATGTGCAGCTGCTTGTACTAGCCCAGACTGAAGCTGGTTTTATAGTGCTAGCCCACTGAGATACCATGCCGCAGTGAAACATGAATACCCCACTCAGACACCTTATACTGACTCCAAGCCGACCAGTCCTTGTTATACCCATTAATGCAGAACGCCAGGCAGGTACCAACAAGTACCATATTTTAACGTCTTTTGGCAGACGCTCTAACCACTACACCACGAAGGCAGTCAGTGAGTGAGTGAGTGAGTGAGTGGGTGGGTTGGTGCCTGGGTTGGTGCGTGGGTGGGTGAGTGTGAGTGAGTGAGTGAGTGAGTGAGTGAGAGTGTGTGGGTGGCTGAATTAGTGGTAGCTTGGTTGAGTGAGAGGTAGATTGAGTGAGTGGTCAAGTAAGAGAGTTGGTGGGCAAGTGTGTGTGTGTGTGTGTGTGTGTGTGTGGTTGGTTGAGTGAGTGAGTAAAGGAATGAAGGAGTGAATAAGGCTGTGTATGAGTGAATGAGTAGACCCTCTTCATGAACCCTAAATTTGAGGATCCTTCTATTTCACTCCATCTCTTTCCCAGATACTGCAGAAACTCAAGTTGACATATCCACATGATCATTTTACTCATTAAACTAAAAATATCTGTCTATACTTCAATGGTTTTATGTTTATTCTTGTTACTGAAGTAACTTGACACTTTTAGTTTCACACATTAAACCCAAGACATAAAACCTCTTAAAGCAGTTACCCTTAATGCAAGCGAGCATTCACGTACTCTAATGCCCAAGCAGACGGCAACTATAAAACACACCAGCCATTGGCATCTATTCACAAATACAGCGAATGAGTGAGAGATGTAAGAATGTATCAGTGATTGTCGACGTGTTACAGGTCTTAGACATTCACCCTTCAGTGAAACCCTGGAGCACGGATATGGTGCTGACAAACCCAGACTCACAATCAAACCTGTCTGGGATTCAAACCCATGCCTTACCCTGCTACCAGTGAGTTTAGTTGTACACCGGTATTAGCAATATTCCAGCAATATCACGGGAGGGGACACCAGAATTAGGCTTCACACATTGAACCCATGTGGGGAATTGAACCCATGTGGGGAATTGAACCCTGGTCTTCAAAATGACGAGCAAACGCTTTATCCACAAGGCTACCCCACCGCCAATAGGGCCAGGAATATTGTTTGATAATGGGCTTGTAGGTGCATTTACTTATTCTGTTTTTATAAGCAAATTTCCGGGAGTTAAATGTAGTCACAGACCTAACAATTCCAGGAGAAAACTTCTACAAGGCTCTAACGTAACTAACCATCTTTTTATAAGTTTCAAAAACAAATAAATCAAACTTAATGAATTTCCTATCATTCTTAAAAGCACACTTTCAAATGAAAATTACAACGTGTCGAACTCCCAACCCTTGCATCAATGAAATCTAAAGACTGGTATCAAACACCATTTGTTCAGTCCAGTGACCCTCAATGACCAACTATCAATGGGGAACTCTGCCTGGTCAGCCCTGCCCTAAGCAATGGGTCATTCAGGGACATCCTAAACTGCTCTTACACACACCAGTGATTTCAGGTACTCCAAAACACTGGACAATGAGTGACACCCCTAACCCTTAGGATTTGGATAAAAATGTTGGATCTATAAAAGAGCTGATATCTGTAAAAATGTCATGATCTGTAAAATAAGATGAGGTTTGGAAAATAAGATTTTTCAAATATGGTGTGATCTGTAAAATAAGCTTTGCACGTGATTACATGTTTGTTAATGTCTTAGTTTCAATTAATGAAGATACAACCCTCCCTAACCTGAATTCTACTTAATTTCAAGTAATTTCACTATTTACAGTAATTCTCAGATCTCTTGAGTGGCTCTACCTGCTTTTAGTAAAATGACAGTGACATCCTGGCACAACCTTCCCAAAACCCACTGAACCCAGTTAATAGAACCCAGCCCTCTCGTGGGATAAGTGAACACTTTAACCATTGAGCTATTTCACCTGCTTGAAGTAGATTGGTAAAGTGCCTTGTAAAGTGCCAGGGACTGCTCAGCTTGGCACTATACAGGAAGAGTGTTGCAACACTGTACTGTATGAATAGGTGGGTACACACAGGAAACATGCTAGCCTGAATGTACATATATACTGATATTTGGTACACTGTTGTACATGACTGCCTCCGCGGTGTAGTGGTTAGAGCGTCCGCCCGGAGAGCGGAAGGTCGCGGGTTCGATCACCGACCGCGTCATACCAAAAGACGTTAAAATATGGTAATTGTTGGTCCCTGCCTGGAGCTCGGCATTAATGGGTACAACAAGGACTGGTCGGCTTGGAGTCAGTATAATGTGTCAGAGTGGGGTATCCATGCTTCACTGCGGCATGGTATCTCAGTGGGCTAGCACTATAAAACCAGCTTAAGTCTGGGCTAGTACAAGCAGCCGTACATACACACACACACGCATGCACATCGTCATAGGAGCGAAATATTCTCAAGCACGACGTTAAATCCAATTTCACCTCACCTCACCTGTTGTACATACTGCATGGTACACAAACCTATACTTCAGCATAGATATACTGCATGGTACATTAAATCCTGCTGAGTATAAATACAATAAATACCGGGTACAATGTTGTACAGACAATATTAACCAAAGGTGAATATAAATACAATGTATATATCCAGTAGAGTATTAAACGAACTGCATGATACATTAACCCAAGTATATATACAATAAAAGTGCTGGTACAATGATGCAAGGCATAATCCAGCATACAATGACCTCAAATTACATCAGTATAAAATGTTGTACATAGTGTGTGATACACCTCCCAAGACACTATAATATGGAATATATCTTTATGTTTGATCACAGATATTGCATTAATAATACTAAGCCTTCAACATAACAACCAATCCTCCTTATCTGCTAATAATGCATGCATGGCACATACTGAACCAGAATGGCTTGTCACTGGCTCACAGAGCATACCCAGATCTTAGCAATTGCATTCTCCAAGACAAGGATCAAAAGCCATCAAACCAAACAACCATGATGCCAAAACCAAGAAGCATGTCTACCATCAAATATAACTTTTAGATTAATCTTTTAACATAATTTCATCTACTCTCTCCAAAGCTTACTTAATGTTATTCTGCATTCTATCAGTTTCCTATTACATTGTTTATAATGCATACAATCTTGAAATTGAAGAATAAATTATTCATAATCCTTCAACAATTTCTGCGAAATAATAGATTACTCAATAGCTTTACATATTTAGTTCATGTGCCAAATTATTTTTAACATTCATTCCACATTTTTTTAAATGTCATTCAAAACATAAAATCTTGACTTTTCACTTTTGCATAACATTGCAATTAAATGCAACTTTAAAGAAAGTGACATTTAAACAACAGAAGAAAACAGCCTACCTTTAAAATACCAGGGGTACCACAGTGGAGAAGAGGAGGTAGTGGCTATGTAGTCACTTAGCAGGTGAGTCATCGAGCGGGGTTGGGGATACACTGGCAGTTCAGGGACCCGTGGGGTGGGGGTACACCACAGGGCAGGGCGCCACAGCCCTGGAACCAGGGGGGGAGGGCCGCCTTCCATTAAGGGGTGCTCTCCAAGAACGGACATAATCCTTGAAACATTCACAATGGCAGTATTCCACTGTTATAGTGTAACTGTCTCTGGATTCTGTAGTGGAGGCTCAGGTAGACAGCGTACACATGCTGATGGATACCTCGCTATACTGACACTGGCTCACAGACTTACACACGTGGGCTCTCATTGGCTAGAGGCGACCTCTGACCTCGTGCAAACACTCCTACCAATGGTGGAAGCAGTCTCAATGTCTTGAGTTGTGCTACATAGTAGTGTTCCAGCTGGTGACTGGAAACTGAGAACTATATTGCTGATGACAGATGGAGGGACACAGGGAGTGAAGAGGCTGTGTTCAAGTAACACCTGAAGATGCTTCTCCGAATCCCCGTCTCCAACAGTTGTAAAGGCAAAGGAGATAGTGAGGCTAGCGAGGGGGGAGGCACACTCACGCTCCATATCTTGATAGTGTTACCTACTCATGTGTCAAGTAGATCTATGAGTTTGGTACCAAAGTTGCAAAATCAACATGTTATGTAAATTATAGGCAAATTTATAATTATAACATAAGATTTCTCCAAACATACTGCTTATTTTTTTATAAATATTTAATAATCATCTTCTGCAACATGTTCCTGAAGAAATATTGAGTCAACACAAATCATTCATTTACTGACACAATAAAGAAAGCTTGTCTCTTCAAAAATACACTCTCCTTCACAACTTTCAAAGCCCATTTACACCATCAACTATGATGAGGTATATAAATGAACATAAGATAATGAGTGAGTGAGTGAGTTTAGTTATACGCTGCTTTAAGCAATATTCCAGCAATACCATTACAGGGGACACCAGAAATGGGCTTCACACATTGTACCCATGTGGGGAATCGAACTCGGGTCTTCGGAGTGACGAGCGAACACTTTAACCACTAGGCTACCCGACATTATAAGTAAGATAATGATATTCCATGAGTAACATGATTTTGCACTAGTAACATTAAAATCTTCCACTACTGACATAATGCTTTAATATTGTGTCATCGAGTTGAGAATTTCTCAATGGATTTAGACGATTCAAAATTGAACAATTTGAAATAAAATCAGCGGAAATCCGCGGATCAGTAACAAATTGCCATCCCTGTATAATAGGACTAGATCATGTTTCTTGGACAGACATACCCAATACTCCCCTATTATCCTGATTAACTTTCTAAAACGTGTATATACCAAAAAAACTGTTACTAAAATAAGTTTTCTAACTCATGTACAAGAATCCGAACAACTTGAATACATCCAAATACAATCCAACTTATTCATTTATCACATCGCCCTTTCAGAACACAACTCTGAAAAACCCACACCTTTCAATAACATTTTTCAAGAACATGTGACATTAAGGTTTTAAAAGTGTTGAAGTTGACAAAAGTTATGTATTACACAAGAATATGTTTGACATAAAGTGGTACACAACACTAATGCCACAAATCGACACACTCCCACCACCATTTTGAAAATTTCAAAAGAAGATATGACATTGAGTCCAATTAGTTGCCAGCATTGTGACGAGCCATGGACTCCAGTCCTCCCTAGCGGACAGGTTTAATCCCCACATATGTTTTAAGCCTGTCTGTCTCATCACATTAACAGCAAGACTGAGTTTTCATGGCATGGCTGGGCTGTTAAAAAGGTGGTAAAAGCCTGCAGGCATTGTATAATGAAGTAGGTTAAATCATATTGTACAGCTGCAAGAGCCACACAAGGCTCACAGAACAGCCTCTCTCATTTCTGATCCGCTTTTCAACGTGTTCAAATTATAATCCTGGGGTTTTTTCATTGTTAACATGTAGACTCATCTTGCAGGAATCTGGCCTAATCTCCGCTACTGTTATAGCGAGAAACAGCCGAGCCAGGTGACGACTGTTAATTACAGGTGAGTGAATGAGTGAGAGAGAGGTAATGATACCTGACATACTGGATACAGGTTGAACCTCCTGGAGAATGTGGACTATACAAGTGATACAAACGATTAAAATATACATTCACTAGTGTCAGAGAGAAGAGAGAGAGAAGAGAGAGAGAGAGAGAGAGAGAGAGAGAGAGAGAGAGAGAGAGAGAGAGAGAGAGAGAGAGAGAGAGAGAGAGAGAGAGAGAGAGAGAGAGAGAGAGAGAGAGAGAGAGAGAGAGAGATGGTGCAATCTGGTGTGTGATATGGTCCAATCAGGTGTGCAACATTGAATCTGGTGTGTGTGACGTTGAATCTGGTGTGTGCGACATTGAATCTGGAGTGAATGACGTTGAATCTGGAGCGTATAACATTGAATCTGGAGTGTATGACGTTGAATTAAGTGTGTGACATTCAGTATCGTGCGTGTGATGTAGGTCCAATCAGGTGTGTGTGTGTGGTCTAGTTTGGTTTGTGACACATCGTTTCCTAGTTTAAGGTTATATAACTCAATGTGGCAACAGTTTAACTCAAGTTATCCACTGAATTCTCCTAACAGGGAACGAGCTGCCATGAGCTGAGTTCCTCACCCTTTTTCAAACAAGTCCTGCAAGCTGAGGCCTCGACTCATCAAACTGTTCCACACCAGCAATTTCATTCACAGTAATCCACCTGATGAGGTCAACTGTTTCGTGTGACGACCTGACCTCGGCGGCGGCTCCCGGCCACAGGGTGACAAGCACAATCCGGAACACTTACCTCCGTTTCCTGTCCCCATTAAAAACCAATCAATACCACGAAAGGGACGTACTTGAAGGCAGGCCATCGGGAAACTAGTCAGACATAGAGTTTTTAAAAGTTGACAGATTTCTTATAACAAACTCTGACATTTATTACATATTAATGGACCCTGTATGAATAGTTTTTTATTGATTTCATAGTATAGAAACATGAATCAATCTGGAGAAACTATATTTCATGAAAACATAAAACTTTTATGAAAAACCACTTCTTTATTGCTCGTATCAACTTCAGAGGCCCTTTCATCAGTGACTGAGTGTTTAGTTTTACCCACTTTTTGCAATCGAACCGGGTTTTCGGTGTGACGAGCAAGCGCTTTGACCTCTAGACTAACCCATCCCCCCCTTCATCAGGTGAATATAGGCCGTATCATATTGAATTAATATAGACACATGTGAATAATCAATATATGCTTATACAAGATAGAATGAATTTTCTAAGACATATAACATTGTACATAATAACGAGAAAGCTCAGAATTAAGACTGACTGACTGACTGACTGAGTTTGGTTTTATGCCGCTTTTAGCAATATTCCAGCAACCTCACGGCGGGGGACACCTGAAATGGGCTTCACACATTGTACCCATGTGGGGATTCGAACCCAGGTCTTCGGCGTGACGAGCCAACGCTTTAACCACTAGGCTATCCCACAGCCTTCAGAATTAAGAAGAGAGAGAGAGGAACATGATCAATAAGAGAGAAGTAAAGTGAAAGTAGAGGTAGTGTTATCATATGTTCTAAGCCAATTTCAGGTTTTCAAATTCTTCAACTTCTAAATGCCTGTCAAAGACAACGTTATTTAAAAAGAATTACATATAACACACCTGATATCTATAATATTCATTTTAATATAAAGAATACTTAAAATATCAACTAAATATATTTAAGTTTAATAATTCAGTAATGACATTTTAATATGTTTTCACCACATTTATAAAGTTACCTCATGTTTAACTTCTATTTTAAGATTTTATTAAAAATAAAGAAAAATAATGTCATTAAAATATAAGTAAAATATATTTAAGCCATAAATCTGTTGATATTGTAAATCTGGAGACACCTGACATGACAAACAAGCGTGGGGAGGTATTTAGGGCTACTCGTGGTTGAGACGGATTGAGTGTGGGTACGCACTCAAATGTTTAATGTGCCACACAAACTGTGCAGCATGCCCGACTTAACAGGATTATGTGTTTAATTGAAACGCGATTCAAGTATCGCCTCTCCGCATGAGGTGAATGCTTTTTGTAATCACCATTACTCACTGCGGAAAAATGTTTACTTGTTGACGGTTACAGCAAACTAGTTATCACAACACATTAAACTTGATAGACTAATGCACAAATAATTGACTTTTAATTGTATGCATCTAAACTCCACACAATACTGCAATTTCCTCACCGAGATCTTAGTACAATAAGGTTTTGAATTGTCCATGATTCATGTTACGGTAATGCTAGATACTCAAGGAATTTCACTTGTGTAGCTGTCAATTATATTCTCTAATAAACATGATTAAGTCAAATCCAAAAGGTTTTTTAATAGTTTCACTTCGGTATCTAAATACTGAATATGATTTAGCAGCATGTATAACAAAATATCCCCTAAAGTACATAGTTACCATAACAAGAGATTGTGAACCTGTTTTTAAGCAACATTCCTTTTGCATTGAAATATGAAAATCGTTTGAAAACGATGTTCCTGCTTGACTGACTGACTGACTGACTGACTGACTGAGTTTGGTTTTACGCCGCTTTTAGCAATATTCCAGCAATATCACGGCGGGGGACACCTGAAATGGGCTTCACTCATTGTACCCATGTGGGGATTCGAACCCGGGTCTTCGGCGTGACGAGCCAACGCTTTAACCACTAGACTACCCCACCGCCCCTCCTGCTTGACAGCTCCTTACACTTGACTAGGGGGTGTTCCTACACTAGGAATATGTCCCAAACTGAGTGAGTGAGTTGGTGAATGAGTGTTGTTTATACTGGCACATAGAAATGATTCATCAATATCAGTACAAAAGAGGCTGTATTCAGGTGGGGAATCAAACTCGAGCTATCATTGTGACAAGTCATCATGGAACCACTGGGCCACCCCACCTCATTTCTTCTGTGCCTGTCAACATGGTCAACAGGATAAATAGATCATCTGGAACACTGTCTTCTGATATTGTCTCTAGCGATGAAGAGATCATCAGACGTCTTTCAACAATATCTTGATAGTGCCTTAATGGAGAAGCGATCATCTGATATCATTCAACAATGTCCTGTTAGTGCCTCTAGGGATTCAGAGACCATCCCTCATTCAACATCTTGATAGTGCCTCTAGGGATTCAGAGACCATCTATCATTCAACAATGTCTTGATAGTGCCTCTAGGGATTCAGAGACCATCTATCATTCAACATCTTGATAGTGCCACTAAGGATGGACAGACATCTATCATTCAACATCTTGATAGTGCCTCTAAGGATGGAGAGACATCTATCATTCAACATCTTGATAGTGCCTCTAGGGATTCAGAGACATCTATCATTCAACATCTTGATAGTGCCACTAAGGATGGAGAGACCATCTATCATTCAACATCTTGATAGTGCCACTAAGAATGGACAGACATCTATCAT